AAAAACGTTGCGGCGCTCGCACCGCTTGTTCATGGCGCTCCCAGTTCTCCCGGTTACATACATATCTCGAATGCGTGCGCGTACGTACGTACATACATACATAGTACTAAGTATATAACAATCATTGAGCCAACTTTGTAACCTCGCAGTTGGACTTGGTAGTCAACAGTTGGCCAAACAGACGAAACGGCGGGGCTTCTATCCAAACACACTATTTTTTTATTGCTCATTATTTGCTGATGGCTTCTTTCGCTTTTTCGTATTTCTACTCATTCAATCAAATTACTGTTTTTTACTGGCTTGGTGTTTTGTTCAGACATTTCGTGTTATTTCTTTTATATTTTTCTTCTTTTCTTTGTTAATGGCAATGTAATCATAACTATTGTTATGTTTTATTTTTATTTATTTTATTTTTTTCTTCTATTTGTTGACCAAGCCTGCAAAATGGTCAGCAATACACAAATGTATAAAATCCATCTAGTTATTTTATTGCAGGTCAGGAGGCACGGTTTTTTGGCATTCGTTTTAATTTTTATTATTACGAGTCTCATATCATAGTGACAGGAGTGATACTGGTACTAGGAATTCGCATTAAAATGATATTCTTTGAAATGGAAATGCCATGTAAATATCGTTATGTATAAAAATAATATGTACTTATATTATCAAAATGAACCACTTACTACAAAAACCTTACTTGCTTACATTTTGTTGCTAAAAAAAAACGAGACTTGCTAGAAGCGATAACAAAATTGTTGATAATTTGGCAAATTGTTACGAAAAGAATTCCAAATACATACACACAGACATGTTTTTTTTCTGTTGAACTCAAGCCTTTAGCAATTCTAAAAGAATTCAACAGGTTTTAATTTTTTGAAATTTTTGCTATCTTTGAAAAAGAAAAATATAAAAATCATTGAGCGAAAATAACCCCTAAATGTCAAATTTTTTTATGACACTGCACAGCTGACTCCTGGGAACCAGAAGCAATACTTAAGAGCATCGTAATCCTCTTGGCAAACCGGAAAACTTTGTAAACCCTATTTCACCAGCTAAATCCATATTTGGTAGGAAGCCTGAGAAAGGCCGGATATTCATAGAGGATGTGCTCCAAAGTCGCCTCATTTATTCTGAATCTCTTGCCAAATTTATCATTAGTCTAAGCCAAATGAAGGCATGTGGACCCAATTACTAGTGTCCTGTTACTTAGTACACCAACTAAGTAGACGCCCATTGACCTGTGGTTATCGTATTCCCTACACATAACTGTATACAACTTGCAGCTATGTAAACATGTATGTATTTTGGTCCACAATTTCTCTACCAGACGTGTATTGGTTCGGCATCCGTTTAATCGGTCCTACAGATGTCCCAGAGTTTTTCGATAAAATTCTGAGATTGGGCGTTATCGAACTGACTGCCGAGATAGATAGGTCGATCTTCCACTCAGGTATCGATTTGTGCTTTACACTCTTTCTCACATAAATATTGCGGATTTTCATTCCACTGACTAGAATAGCCTACGTCGTGTGCCTTACTAATTTTAATTCCTTTGGTTCCACCTACTCAGGCACCGGCGTTTTTGCGGAAGTCACAGCTAACTTACTTTGATGTATGTATATCAACAGAGAATTCTACCAACAGGTAGTAACTATCGTTACCTTGTCTGGGAAACGATAAACATTCCAAAGGAGGGTTATCACCACCGAGCTCTGTGAAACTCCGCCAGTGGCTATGTTCGGAGCTGTTTCCGTATTAGTTTAGGGTTAGTTTGGAATGTTGCGGGACGAGATCTGGAATTTTTCGGGACCATTTCGCGACATTTTCTGCGCCATTTCGAGGTCTTGTTCGGGACTAGTTCTGAACACAGATGTTTACGCATCAAATTTCATGAGTACCTGGTTATCCTTGTCTTTCCTTCGTAGGGTTATCGCGAATCTATCTAGAAAAAATTATAAGATAAAAATTTTTAAATTTTTCGATACTCCGCTTAGTTAACTGTCTACTTTTTCCACAGACATATGTATAGTTTTCAGCAATACAGTGCTAAATTATACCACAAACTTGTTAGGCTGCACGGCATGTGGCAAGTTGATTGAGCTTAGGTGGCAAGTGGCAATTTTTTACTTTGTTAAATTTAAGTTTTTTTTTGCCAAATCAACAAACTACATGTGACCTAACAAAAAAAAATACCAGCTGCAGTTAAAAACTAAATAACAGCATACAAGTTTGGGAGAGAAAAATGTTCGCGTATATACAAACATATGCTTTCAGAGCAAATATTGCAAACAAACTAGATTTTATTTTTACGTATGTATGCATGTTGATATGTATCAAGTTTGTATCCATGTGTATTAGTGCTTTTGATATTCGATTAATCGAATTTTTAAATTATTCGAACAAGGCAATAATCAAATCGTAGATAACATTCGAATAGTGGTATTCGAATAATCATTCACCGTCGAACGTTCGAATTATAACAAATATTCGAATAATCGTAGTCCATGGATTATTCGAATAATCAAAGTACTTTATATACTCGAATAGTAACATTCGATTGAAAATCGAACATACGATTGCCAATCGAATAATCGAATATTCGAATAATTTTAAAAGCCCTAATGTGTATGAATGCACCAACACCACCATTGTCACCAGTGTCGATGGTTTAGTGCCGCCACAAACGGTGATTTCGGCATTGTATTTGTAATTTTTACATCACGCTAATGCAGAGAAACTAAAAGAGAGAACTGTTAAATGCATGTAAATCCGCTGCTTTGGCTTTTGCTCTGCAGCTTTGTGGTGAACTTTATATACATATTTTTGTTTTATGGTTTTGCGCTGTCCTTTGTTTTTGTTGTCTTTGTGGTTGGTTCGTTATATGAATAGCACTTTTTAACGGAAAATTGTTGGTTATTTATTATTTGTAGATTTTCACAGTTAACAAAGCTGCTTGGGAAATGACTTTTCCCAGCAAATAAATTATGGGCAGCAACTAAAAGTTGAAATAAGAATAAAATCAAATAAAAATAGAAATAGAAATAAAAAAATCAGATGAAAAAGCTTTACGTAGTTAGAATTTACCACACCAATTTGTTGTTTGAAAAGATTAAACAGTTAGAGGTGGCAAGCGAAGACAGGAGACAGGGCAGGGCAGGGCTGAGAACTGCATATGCGCAAGCAAAACTGTTTAATTAGTCAAAAAGCCGCAAAATAAATAAATAGCAAAGCCACAAAATGCATTCAACAAGTTTACTAACTGCATATATACATATATACAGACATATCTATGAAAATATGTACCAGCTAACAGCTTACCACTAGTCACATTCGGTTGCAAATGATCCCGGCGAGTGAAATTAAAATTATTTGAATTTGTAAGCATTTACAAATGGTGCTGTACAGCTGCCTGGTTGGGCGGCAAGCGTTAACTTTTGCATGTAAATAGATACACCCATATTTATATACACACATACATATGTATGTATGTATATAT